GGGAGATATTTCAAAAAATTCAAAATTATTTGAAACTTGGTTTTACCACTTAATTGATCATTCATCAATATTTGTACTCCTAGTCTTAAATTTAAGACTTTATTCATAAGTGTTTATAATATTATATATATTATATATATTATATATATAATATATATATATAATAATATATATATATATAGGATCGGGTAATCACTCTTTTTTCGGTAAGGATTGTTGAGTACACCTTAAAAAAATTGAAAAAAAAATACAAATCATAAAATCGAGCATAACGGAGAAAACAAATTTAGAAAAAAAAAATGGATCATTAAAATTGAAACATGGATCATTTTTATGATCCATGATTCAATTTAATGATCCAAAAATTTTTTCCATTTTTTTCTCTCCGATATAGTATTATGCGCGATTTTATGATTTGTATTTTTTTTTTATTTTTTAAAGGTATCCTCACGAGTCCTCATCGAACCTTATATATATATATATATATATATATATATATAATATATATATATATATATATATATATATATATATATAGGTTAATGTGTTTCTTACATTTATTGTGTGCTAGAATGCACTAATAGAAATTTGATAAAATTAAATAATTATTTAATTAAATAAAGATAGATATTAAATAATTTCCATAACTGTATGTATATTAAATGATATTTATAATTATAATTCTCCTTTTATGAAAACTAATTAAATCTGTCATTAATGTCATCTATAATATTCTTTTAGAATGAATTCACATCTAAGTTTTTATATATGGATTCGTGTTTTGTTTCAAGACACATTCACTTAAAATACAATAAAGTTGCATATAATATGAAGAACGAGAATGTATTCTACTAGAATACACTCTCATTATTCTAGAATACAATGTCATTCTTCTAGATACGAATTCATTCCAAAAGAATATTGTTGCCGAAATTAATGACGAATTTAATTAGTTTCCATAAAAAAATTATAATTATGGATATCATTTAATATACATAAAATTATGGATACCTTTACTAAATTCTTATGTGTGCATTCTAGCACACAATAAATGTGATAAACATTTGAACCTCTCTCTCTCTCTCTCCCTATATATATTATATATATATATATATATATATATATATATATATATATATATATATATATATATATATATATATATATATATATATATTCTTAGGGTTAGGTTATTTTGTAATCATAACCGATTATAACTTATTTTATTCTGTCGGAATGCGATTCTGTTAGAATGACATTCTATTAGAATAATAGTTTATGATATCCTTTAAGAATACATAAATAAAAAGAAAACATGAATAAGTACATTATGAAACAATATACAAAATCGATTCTTGAACTAATAATATATCAAATAATTACATCTATGCTTCTGATACAAAAAGAACATTCTTGAATAATGTCAACATTCTGAAAGAATAACAAGTGTAATTTTAAAAAAACAACATTCTTAAACCTTGAGTGTGATCAATCTTTGATTCATTCTTCACGTCATCCCTATAATGTCTTCATGTCATTCCTATCACAAATGCATCAAAAACATCAAAATCCAACAGAAAACACTAAGTCATTCTGAAAGAATAATATTGCTAAGATTCGTTTAATACATTCTACTATAAGATACTCTTGTTCTCCATAGTTTCTTTCTTCTACACATGAATGACAAACTCTTCAAAACCTAAAAAGAAAAAAAAAATCATCAATATCTAACAAAAACACTAATCCACTAAATGAACCGACAAAATATATGACATTTTAATAGGCAAAAAAGATTCTAAAAGATTCATTAAATTAGCAAGTTGTAATTCTTACAGAATAATTAGGCAGAATACATACAACATAGTAAATTTTGGCAGAATACATACAATATAGTAAATTAGCAAGTAACATAAATTTATTTCATGACCATTCCTTTAGTTAGGCATGTCGAAAATTATGATACCTGAATAAAAAAAAACTTTAGTAATTCTGATGTAATGCATGCCACATGGTCAGACTCTCTTTCAGGCATTTCCACAAACACTTGTCGTGCACTTCTTCTCACACCTAAAACCAGTTAAACCAATCTTAATCAACAATAATAAATTGAGGAAATATGTTAGAAAATTAGTCATGATTGTTCAAAGAAACACATGAATTATACCTCTTGGAAAAAAATTTATAGATACAAAAAATAAAGCCAATGATAATAGTAAGATTCAAAACTTCAAATTATGGTGCAAACCTGTAAAAAGGAATAAAAGAATATATGATTAAACTCTCAACCTCCACACCTATATTTACCTACAAAAAGGAATACAATCATAACTTCATCTTGGAGTTATTATCCACAGTTAGACAAAAAAAGGTTTTTTTTACCTTTTGATAACATTTAACTACTTGTTTATTTATGCTCGTTTGCACCTTTTAAAGCTTCTCATGTGAAAATCATCTCAGATTAATATCCCAAAAATCGACCAATTGCGCCTTTTAAAGCTTCTGTTATAACTCCAGCGATAAAAATAGAGAACAAAAGCCATGTGGTAATTAATCAACACATGAACATAAAATTAATCTGATTCAAGCCATGTGGTAAAGATCATAAACATCTCTTCAACGAAGATAGAATGCCAGGAAGATAGTAATTGGCAATAAAACTGAATATAGCTACTTGAAGGGACATGAAATAAGAGAAATCAACATTGGAATTGTGTTTGTGTGTGGAATATGGAGAAGATTAACTTACTGGAACAAACCAAAATGGGATGGTGCTAGGCTTCATCGGATACTTTAGATCGGTCGTAATGTCTTTTCCGATAAAACGATGGAAAGGATGGAGAAGACCTAGAAGCCCTATGATCGCTATTAGGAGGACCGGAGGTGGGCGGTGGATACAAGGAGGAAGGCAGCCGGCGACAGAGTAGGTGGCAACGAAGGGGAATGAGTAGGTGGCGGCGATCGATGATTGAACGTGAAACAAAAATGTCGACTTTTGTGTTCTGGTGGATTTTGTAGGGTAAAAAAACTGATTGCAATTTTATAGGGATTTGATTTGATTTTAATTTTGGAATTTATTTAATATACATGCAATATTACTAATTTACCCTTATTGATTTATTTAAAAATTTAATTTGTGCTAAATTCTGATTGGTTCATATGTGCACACAATACTTGTTGAAAATATTTGAACCTAACTCTCTCTCTCTCTCTCTCTCTCTCTATATATATATATATATATATATATATATATATATATATATATATATAGGATTAATAGCTTAAATATTTTTATAGTGATAAATCATTTAATTATTTATTGAAAATACTTCTTGTTCAACAGAAGAGTTGACATGTTAGTAAGAGAAATTAAATATCTTCCAACCCATTTAAAATGATAGAAAAAATGTTCTAAAATATAATTAAATTTATCAAAATATGACAGTAATCATAATTTTATATGGATAGGAAGATAAATAGGAAGAAAATATAGAAATAATTTTTTTTTTTTTGAATATGATAAACAAGATATGATAATTAAATAAGTAACAAAGGTTGATAGACTAAATTCATATGTTTATAATTATGGTGTTTTCTTTTGTATTGTCATTCTTATAAGGAAATATGTGAAACATATAGACCATATAGTATGTCATTTTTTGTGATTCGGTTAAAAAAGATCCGGCTTTTATATTAAAAAAAAGAAAAAAAAAACTTGTTTATAGCACAATATCATTATTGTTTTTATTATTGTCCAAAATAAAGTGATTAACCTTTTTTAATAGTTTATTTATTTATCTAAATCTCCTATTTTAATAACAGAATCCATATTCGCTACATGGCATATGATCGTGATATGAATGCGATAAGCAACCGCTTAAGTTCCAAGTCGGGTCGGGGTCCTGATTGTGAAAAGGATGTTGAGTACGAAAATGGTCCAGATTGTGACTGGATGCGAATCAATGCGAACGAGGTTGGGTGTGAATGTCATTTCGACTCTTGGAGTGGTTATCCGATGCGAACCTCGGAATACGAAGCAATGCGAACCAAGGAGTATTACTTGATGCGAATGGTTGGTGGTTGCGAACGACTGGAGGGTGCAAAAGCTGTTTGGTTGTGATTGTGATTCTCATATTTGGATGCGATTCTCGCAATGGGTCCAAGTGTGTTGCGAATCTCGAAACCTATTGGGCTCTTATTGGTTCTGATGGGTTATTGTTGACATATTGGTTCCAATGGGTTGGTACAAGCTGTTTGGTGTGAAAGCTACTTGGGACCAATGATATAATGGATTTGCATGGCTAATTGTGTGGGCTCTAGCTGGAAGATTCTAGAGATACTTGGAGTTATTTTTTGCCTTTATTTAATAGTTTCCTTTTTATTAAGAGGTTCATTTTATCTATTAGTATCCTTTTATTTTGTGAGCATTGTAAGACTATAAATAGTATCCTATGTCAAACATTATGGATGATTGGATCGTTGATTGGATTTTGAATAAAGAGCTTTGGTGTTCTTTGAGTTGCTTACTCGCCCCTTTGTCAATTCTAGGACGCTTATTCTAGGTTGATTCGAATTCAAATCAATAGGTCTTGATTTGTTTTCATCGATACTCAATCTATATGTCTAGATTATTTATCAAAATCTATCTTTTCTTGTTTTCTTATCGAACAAGTTATCTTTGTTCTTGTGTTATTGTTCTTGATTCTTATTTTCTGTTGTGTTCATAAAAACCCAAAAAAAAACCCCTTCGTACACGCGTCATATGTGGTATCAGAGCCCAGTTCTGATCGCCCATTGAGTTTATTTTATTTTCGTTGCTGTTCAGTAGTTGTTTTAAAAAAAATCGAGTTTTTGTTAGATCTGAAATTCTTGCTGAGTTTGACGATTTTCATGTTTCCTGTCAAGTGTGATTTGCAATTTGCTATTACGATTTGTGTTGTTGTTGTGATTCAGCAAGTTGGACTTGATTGTCACTGTTGAAGGTTAAAATTGCATCAGAAGCCATGGATTTTGAAGATCCAGATTTCGTGAATGCCTTGCATGAAGTTTTGCATGGGTTTCAAGAAGAAGGAAGGCGACAACAGCCAAAGAAGGTTGGAGGCGTAAATATGAACGACTTTCCTAAGTTCATTGGTTGATTCGATCCAGAAGAATATTTGGATTGGGAAGAGAAGATTGAAAAGATTTTTAAGTTCAAAGGGTTGGATGATAAGATGAGCTGTAAGAATGTGATTTTAAGGTTGAAGGGAGAAGCGTCGATTTGGTATGAAGGACTGAAATCCAAAAGAAGACGTGAAGGGAAGAAGAAAGTCTCATCTTGGGAATCCTTAAAATGCAAACTCAGAAGAAGGTACGTTCCAACAAACTACCCAATCACAATTTATCAAAAAATTTCTGAATCAAGGCAAAAGAATTATTGGATGTGATCGATTTTGATGAATCGTTGGGAGAGACCATTGTAATTGAAGAACCTACCGATGTGAAAGAATCTTTTGTTGTGATTGAATATGATGTGAGTGAAGAATCTATGGTGATTGAGAAGGTTTGTGAAGACGAAGAAGTAGATGAGATCACCTTCATATACAAGGCTGCACTTTGGTACGAACCAGATAAAGGCATAGACAATATTTCACTCCTTAGCGCTGAAACAGGAGAAGAAGACGAGGTCCCAAAGAATATTGCTGATGTTACTGATCTCGATGGGAAAGAAGAAGTCTCTGAAGAAATTAATTTTGTGACTGGAGACATAATTGTGGAAAACGTTGAGGAAGAAATCAATATTGTTGATACAAACGAAGTTGTGGAAAAGGAGGTGATTTTTTTAAAAGAAAAAGGAATTCCAAGAACCTATGTCGTCTATTATTGTGAAGCCAACAAATGACGAACAGGTCCAGAAGCCGAATTTGACCTTGTTGACAAGTGAAATGGAGGTTGAAAAGGTTGAAGAATCTGAAGATGTGGTTGTGGTTCAGAAGGTTACGAAAGTGGAGCAGTTGGTACGTGAAGAATACCCGAAGGCGAATTTACCCATGGAGTATCAAGGTACAATTCTATCTAATGAGGTTGCATGTCATTGTGATCCAAAGGAGGCCAAGGAGATGCAAAATCTAGTTGGTGAATCTTTGAAGATGGGTGTTGACCGCAAAAGTTCTAATACATATGTTGTTCCAAGTCCCAAGTATTCATGTGTGAGGGAGTTCATGATGTTCGGACTTATATTCTTTTGGTGTGTTTTAAATTGGGAAGCCATGAATATGGGACGTGTTGATCATCTCTTTGCGAACACAAACCATGATCCATTCTTTCAAATGCCTACTGTTAATTCTTTAAATTATTGCAAGGTTGTTTTGTAAGGTCCTAATGGGAGTATAAAAATGTGGTTTTTGATCCACAAATAGAAGGCACGATCGGCAAACTCTTTGAGTAGTTTGAAGAAAAACATGTGTATGTGGAGGAGAGACATCTTGTAGAAAAAGTTCGCATCGTTGCGATCAGAGAAGAAGCTACATTGTGAATAGTGGAATCGTTGCGATTAGTGGAATCATTACGAATGGTGGAATAGTTGTGATTGGTGGCATCGTTGGTAATGACGGAATCGTTGCGATTGGTCACATCGTTGCGACTTGAGGCGTCGTTGCGACTGGGTTAGTTGTGTTGTTGTGATCCGAAGGAACTCACTATCGTTGCAATTGGTTAAATATGCAGTTGCTTGGAGTGCATGGAAAACATGTGGTTACTATTCATGTGATGCAATTCCTTTCTCTTTTGAAGTTCAATAACATTGATCGTGGGATAATGCTTTTGTACAGCACCGGATCTCATGAAAATGCTTATGTCCATTGTTGGCGATTTTCACACGTGTTAAGATTATTTTTGAACAGGTTTGTGATGAAATATTTGGATGACAATTTGGTATATAGTTGAAGTGAAGATGAGTATATAAAACTCTATGGCAAGAAGGAGAAATATTTGTTTCTGTTCTTGACTTGTGTTTTTGGGAAGGTGGAAGTGTTGATTGATCAGGTCCAATTTGGAGCAATCAAGTTCTAGATGAGCCCTTGGAGTATAAAAGGTTTCAGGACAATAACTAGTCCAATCACTAGTTGTGTAAAGGGTATTGTTGTGTGGAGAGAAGATATTTAAGAGTCTTTTGAGGTGCTTAAGGTTGGTAAAGGCAATGAGATGACCAAAGCACTTTTACATCGTTATACATTACTTGTTGCCCTTAATGTCCGATTGGAAATTGAGATTGATGTCATGAGAGCTGCTAAGTCCAAGAGAATGGTTAGTTTGAAGAAAGAAGAATCGATTGATAATGTTAAAACTAATTTTAAGAAAGGTGATGATTTAAGATATCTTTCATTTGAAAGAAGAGACCATCTTGGAAGGATCGTATGGAAGCTTTATGTGGAAATACATTTTTATAAAGTCCTTGCTAAATTGAGGACAATTTTTTTCGAAGGGGAAGGGGATGATGCGAATATGATAGGCAGCCACTTAAGTTCCAAGCCGGGTCCGGGTCCTGATTGCGACTGTATACGAACCAATGTGAACGATCACAATGGATCACATTCTAATGATTTTGGAGGCGATTGGATGCGAAGGACATATGGATGCGAATGGATGCGATTGACATGCGAAATATCGCAAGCCATCATAATCTCTAGTTGTTGAAAAACATTTCGGAACGAGGTTGGGTGCGAATGCCATTGCTACTTTTGGAGTGGTTATCCGATGCGAACCTCGGAATACGAAGCAATGCGAACCAAAGAGTATTACTGGATGCGAACGAATGGTGGTTACGAACGACTGGAGGGTGAGAAAGTTGTTTGGTTGCGATTGTGATTCTCATATTTGGATGCGATTCTCTCAATGGGTCAAAGTGTGTTGCGAATCTTAGAACCCATTGGGCTCTTATTGGTTCCGATGGGTTGTTGCTGAAATGTCGGTTCCAATGGGATGGTACAAGATGTTGTATGTGAAAGCTACTTGCAACCAATGGTACAATGGATTTGCATGGCTAATTGTGTGGGCTCTAGCTGGAAGATTCTAGAGATACTTTGAGTTATTTTTAGCCTTTATTTAATAGTTTCCTTTTTATTCATAGGTTCCTTTTATCTATAAGTTTCCTTTTATTTTGTGAGGATTGTAAGACTATAAATAGTTTCCTATGTCGAACATTATGGATGATTGCATCATTGATTAAATTTTGAATAAAGAGCTTTGGTGTTCTTTAAGTTGCTTACTTGCCCCCTTGTGAATTCTAGGACGTGTATTCTAGGTTGATTTGAATTCAAATATATAGGTCTAGATTGTTTATCAAAATCTATCTTTTCTTTTTGATTATCGAACAAGTTATCTTTGTTCTTGTGTTCTTGTTCTTGTTTCTTATTTTCCGTTACGTTTATAAAAACCCAAAAAGAAACCCCCTTAGTACACGCATCAGATCAGCCATCACCCAATCTTATTTTCCCACCAAAAATATCTAAGTGAATTTACACATACACCTTTTTATCTCTTTAGCCTCCCGGTGCACAAAATCTGAACATACCCCCATGTCCTTTAAACTCGCAGAGAATTAAATCATGTTCAAATGCACATTAATTTTGAATCAATATTTCCAACATATCTACATAATCTTACCCCATTTGTATCGCTTCCTTCTTCTTAAAGTTTTCACATCTCTTCTTCATCTTCCATTAATATTCTGAATGCATGAGGAAGAAATTGAACGACGTTGTTCGTAGGTATATATTTTCTCTTCATGTTTCAACCGTGCTAAGAAGCTTAAATAATACAAAATCTCATCGGTGTGGACCCATTGAAACTAGGCTATCTTCGGATATGATGTTGTCATTAGGGATAGTACAGTTGCGAGAGAGTACACACTAATCATGTGATGCTTACAAGTTAAGGTTTCCAAAAGGAAATCCCTACTTTCAACACTCGAGGATCTTAATAGGATTGATAGAGGAAGGTTTATGGCTAAGGTTTCAGAATCCTTGCCATCTTTATTTATGCCTTATGCGCAACATTAGTAGAGGTCACAAGATGATCTAAAGTCCAGATAAACCAAACCATGAAACGCATGTAATGGATGAAATAATGACCTCTGGGGGCACGGAATCGAGTGAGGCCAGATCTGAGAAAGCCAGAAAGCACAACAACCAGAGAACCATATGTTAGAGTGTTGCAGCTCATAGAAAGAGACGTGAGAAGGGGCTTTCGGGCCGTGGACCCAGGCACCAATGCGTAGGCAAAATGCGGCTAGGGTGGAAACGGCGAAAAGAGGGAAGTCTTAAATAAATAATATGATCTGGTGTAGTAAGCCATTCTGACATCATTAAATAAAGAATAGTCAACATCGCAGAAGTAATGTACAGCGTGAAACCGCCCCCAACACGAAGAGTGAGATCTTACCTATGCAGTAGGATTCAAAGGAAATTTATCCGAACAGTAAGACCCGGGAAGACTACTACTTCTATATTAAAAGAAAAAAAGAAAATAGATTTTTGAAGCATATTTTCAAGTAGGGATTGATAGGTAGAGGGCTCAAGGCCCTGGGCTAAAAAAATCAACGAATTCTTTAAACCAACCCCTTGTTGCTAACTAATGGCTGCCCCTTTATTGCTCCTTCCTAGGAACTCAGTAATGTGGCTAGTAAGTCAGCAGGTATTATGGAATGCATATCTTTTTTAAAGTCAGTGAGGCAAGGAAGGAAGGTTTCAGAGCTCGGCGGACGAAGACTTCCAACGCATATAGGTGACTAACTGACTGTTCTCTCGGAAAGTAAAATTCGAGATTGAGTCTGCTCCAGCCCCAACTTCTATCCAACTGTGTCTTTGATGGCACAGTTGTGTTGCTGCTGCGTAGTAGAAGGGATGGGTTCTCTAAGGTTCAACAATGCGCCAGGCTGCTCGAAGGACTCCACAAATAAAAAGCTGTGTAAATGATTAGCCCGATGAAATTGCTCTGTGAAAAAAGGGCTAAAAGGGGGCTAGGGTTCCATGGGGTTCAACAATGCTGTTAAAAGAAGGGAGAAGAGCAGGGCAAAGGTTCATGGCGGTTACGATATTTGTGGCGGGAATGCGTGAGGGTCTGCAAGACAACGGGCACAAGGAGACAACTGCCAATACTTCTGACTCTTATTCATAGAGATGACAAGTCTTATTTTCCTACTAATATAGGGAGGATTGGATGCACGAAATCGCAATTGGTTAAAGATCACTGAATTACCGCTCTGTGGGCTATTACTATTGGGATAACTGAATACTTGTATGCCTCTATCAATGTAGTAACCATCTTTCTATAATCTGAATGTGAAAGCGGAGTAGCTTGTCGAATCCGAAGTGTCTATCTCCGCCGCCATACTGAACTATCTGATGGGAAGCCTAACAACTGGTTACGGTAGTGTAGCTAGGGCTATGAAAAGCAAGGCAGTCCCTAGACTGTGAGAAAGCCTAACTGGTTACGGTAACTTATCTTGATTCTCCTAGTATCAAGTAGTAAGGTATCAAAACAAAGGAGGAAGAAGTAAAATACCAGTCTCTTTGATAGGAGTAAGCTCGGAATTGAGGCGAAAAACCCTTTTTATAAAAACTATTTAGATTAGGAAAGGAAATAGTTTCTCCCAACGGTCTTAGAAGCGCTCTCCTTTGTTAGCAAGAATGCCCTTCGAAGATGAGGAATTGAACAATGTGCTATCAAATCCGTTATTACTGCCCGAGAAGGAACCGTTTGAAGGACATCTAATGAAAATTGCTCGGGAGGTTTGGATTCATACATGGGAAGAATCTTCTCTTCTCTTATCTTTGCGATCCTAGAGGGATCTACTAAAGGAACTACCATAGTTTATCTACAAGTAAAGGATCTAATAGTAGCAGGAATATGTCCAGAATCTGATGCTAGTTTATAAGTGCCTGCTTTGGCTTCCCCTTTCTGAGTCTAATAAGTGGTTGGTTGCATGTCTTAAGACTGATTATGGATTAGATTAGGTTATGACTCTATAAGGTCTTATGACGAATAGGCTCTTAGATGGGGCATTACCGGAAAACTAACTATCACTTGAATAAGAAAAAGGGGAGACCCTATCTTTCTTTAGAGCAATCCCATTCTAAACTGACAGAGATAGATGGAAGAGGCCTACATCTATTTTGAATTTTAACTGGCAATGGAGAAATTGGAAAGTGCTCACTGGCGACAGATTGACACGTATGGGAATGGAGTTTTCAGGTGCCTAATGTGCATGCAAGCGGGCAGAGGAAAGAAACACGCATTGTGTTTTTTTAATGTCTAATTTCGTCCATGGAATTTTAGATCTAATAGCAAGGATTGAAAGAGATTGGGTTCAAATGGGTAGGACATCAAAAATAAATTGGTTACTGAAAGAAAAACAAAAAATGATCGCAGCTCAAATCTGGTCGTCTCAGAACTTTGCGATATTTTAAGAAAAACCAATCCATAGAGGGAGTCCGTACTGGTGCATTGATACAGAAGACCAAAATCCCTAAAATTTCATTAAAGCGGTTCTAGAACAATTGAACCTGCAACATAGAGTGAGTCGACAACCCAGAATGACGGAACCCAGATAGAAATAACTGTGTACAGTTACATTACGACGGTGCGAG